TGATGAAGTGTGTTTAAAACACCATTTGTGTGCAGTTGAGTATTGAACCATTCTCAGTCTCAAGAAATAGAAAATAACATTTTAAGCTGGCGACGTGAAATCGCTTCTCTCGCATTATTTTAATAGTTTTCTCCGTAGGCTCACCCTAAATCATATATAGTACACATATTCTCAAATACTCACGTTTGTAGTAACTCAGTGAGGCTGAAGAATCAAGATTATTGTCCTTACCGGCCACCCATGCCACAATCTTGAACCTTTCGCAGGGAAAAAGGAATGACTGATAAGATATTCGTGTAAGAGTCGCTCAAGTATGATAATTCATAATGTAGCGCAAGAACACAAGAAAGTCATTATCCTTAACTTGTTTAATTGTTTCTCTCATAATGATTTCATAATTATTTCCTGGTCTGAACAGTGAGTTTAGTAGCAAAGCAAACGGAAAAAAAAAACCTTTTTCACAATGCTATAATCATAATTAGGCAGTCTCCTTCATTGTCCCAATCAAATGTATCTCTATTCAACAATAACCTGAGTAATTATTTCGCTTCTGCCATCACTTTAATTGCCTACTTAATGTGAGAAAGCTTTTTAGAGTTTTAACGGAAAATCCAATATTATAGATGACCGGTGGTAATAAACCTCGTCATTTGCTTCGAAAAGCGACCATGGTATTTCCTTTTGTGCTGGTTTTAGGACACTCATCCTCAAGCTCTCTTGACTCATTATAGGTTTTCAACTTTTCGTACCGCTCCAATCAAAGGTATCGAAATACGAAAAAGATATCTTTTATTTCACCAGAGAATAGAAAACTACCCCTGTCCCTTAAGGAAATGAATTACGAGATTTATTTGCCAGCGGTTACCTAGAATATTGAGTTTTTTTAGTATAAAGTCTTGAAAGCTTTCTCATATTAAACAGGCAATTGAAGTACCGACAAAGGTTGAACGATTCCGCAGTTTTTGTTTCAGAATAATTCATTTGGTCGAGAAAAAGAATAAGACCGTTTACCCACGATCATAGAACAATATATGTAGAGTTAGGGTAACTCTTTAAATAGGTTAATTCTTTGTAATTTTCTTGCAATTACTGAACTTATTGTTCATCAGGAAATAAGTATTCAATCAGCTTGAAAAAAAGGATGAAATAATTCAAGCATATTGGCTTTCTTGCATTATAGTGTTCCGAAAGTCAGTCGACGCAAGAAAAACACAATTTGGAAAAAGTCTTGACCAGGTTTCAACCGGAGCTTGATAGATACCTTGATATTTCTGCCTCTACGGGTTAAAAAAGAAAATTAGTTATTCTTTGAAATTAGACCAGACTCTTAGAAATTTGATTTTATATAAGTTTATTTCCTCTTTTTTTTTAAGAGGAAGAAGTTTGATGGGTTGGATATCTTCATTCTTTAACGAAGTCCTTGCATATTACATTTCATCATTGTTTCAAACGGATTAACCTTATCTATAGCATCTTTCGCAATTCAAATTGTCCAATGGATACATTCTTCATTTGTTACAGACTAGGATGTCCCAAGCAACTTTCCCAGATCCTCTTGGCCGCTCGAGAGCAGAAATTGTTATGGAGGTAGCAATTGCGATCCTGATTTGCCTCACCGCCATACTTAGTAATGTGCTGGTAGTTTACGTTATGAATAAATACTATAAGAGGCGAACCACCACCAAAATGTTTATTCACAATCTTTCACTGACTGAAATCTTTACGGTGACCCTTTACACGGTAACTTGAAATTTGACCCAAGAATGGTGTCATGTCACCGCAACATCACGACTTACTATGGGTGTGGCCTCTATGTTAAATATTGCCTTAATTGCCATGAACAGGTACATAAAAGTCGTCCAGCGAGCCTTGTATATCAAGTTCTTCCCCAGCAAAAGAGTTGCTTGGTTGTACTGTGGTCTCGTCTGGCTGTGTTCTTTCATAATCGCCACGCCTCCGTTATACGGATTGGGAAAGCTGTAGTTCGACTCGAGTTCCCTTCTTTGCAGCTTTGACTTATCTTATGTCCTAGCAACTACTGGAGGGACCTGGGTCATGTTAACATCTGCGATATTTTATTGCTATTGGGAAATTACAGGCAAGTGAAAAAAAAGTGCTGATAACGTTAACACCAATGTCACACAAAATAAGGTTGGTACTCCCAGGCTTCATCATACCGACATTAAAGTTTTGAAGAGTTGTTTCACAGTGGTTTGTTTCTTTTTAATTACCTGGGCTCCTCCATGCTTAGGCGCTCTTTTAACCGCTGTTGGAGATTATCCACCTGCTGAGGTGCATAAGGTAACTCCGTATTTTATTTTCTCCGGGAGCCTGGTTAATCCAATCATCTATGGGATCATGAATCCGCAGTTTAGAGATGCCTTCAAAAAGGTATTCAATTGTTGTTCATGTGGCAACGATCATTCAAATCAGACCCATGCAAGAATTACAGCGGTAATGATGCATACCAAGAGCAATGAAGGTCGATGACCAGTGAGAGGAAAATTACTACTGTAGAACTGAAGAGCAATAAAAGTAGGATACTGGCATAGTAACAAGCACACTGACTCTTGACTTTTCTAAAATGATTGCCATACAGTTTCGTCGTTTTTTCAATCGAGGTTTGAAGGCACGCGCGATATCTTACTCCTACTGGAAAAATTGCCAAAAAGTGAAAGAAAGCACAAACAATATCAAAACAAATGACGAGCAAAATGGTGTCGGTACACCAATGATCCATCGTACCGATATCAAACTTTGAAGACTTGTTTCAAGGCGGTTTGCTCGCTGTTAACTACATGGGGTCCTCCATCCATGGTTTCTAATGTAGCCATTGCTGGAGACCATGCTCCCCATGTAGCACCTAGAAAAGCATTGTGTTTGAAGTTCCCTAGTAGTCTGTTAAATCCAATCATCTATTGGATTATGAATCCGCAGTTTAAAGAAGCTTTCAAAAAGGCACTAAGGTGTTGGTGTTATGGCAACCATGATGCAGATCATAATCATGCTAGAGATGTAGCTGAAGTAATGTATACTTTTTTACTTTCAGTCGTGATTCTCAATTTTGTCTCAGAATTTTTTCTTTGTCCCACGCTCGTGACAAGACGAAAAAACAACTTTCTCTTTTCCTTTACCGAGCTCAAAACCTACCATCTCTCTTATTTCTATCTACAAACATTACGCTATCGACATTGCTGATCCTAGCAGTTTGCAGACGCGTGTCATATGAACTTCGGAATAGACCTCGCTCACCGTGGAGTCTATGTGGCTCAGTGGTTAGAGCCTTGGAGCGCTCGTAAGAAGACGAAAAAACATCTTTCTCTATCTCCTTGGTAGTTCCAGTCGACTGAATCCCTTTTAATGAAAAACTTGTTTTAGTTTTTGATGTTTTTATAACTTTGGTTCTGGTTCTTGCTTTGATATTCTCCTAAAGAGAAAAAATGTATACATAAAAACCTTGCTCTGGGAGCCCCTATGGAGAATAGAGATGAAGATGTTGACGATGAACGACCTCAAAAGTCTCTTTTGAGGGTTTCTGGTATAGACAGTGTTGGGGAGCGTGCTAGAAAGTAGGAGATGTTGCAGAAATCAGAGGAGGACCTAGAACAATACCTGCAGAAGACAGGTTTTCCTCATGTAAGGCATGCATCGGGTAAGGGGGGGTTGAGATACTTGGCTTTAAGAGTAAAAGAACATACTAGTGGAAGCTAACAGGTATAACAAGTTACCAGTTAGGCTTATTGGCAATCAAGCCATTGCATCATCTATCTTAGCAAGATAGGCAAGTATCTGAGAAACTGGCTGAGGGGCTTTTTACTAGAATAGAGACCAATTCTGCCCAGTTGCAGAACTGAAAGAAATGTGTCGTATTTATTTTGACCAAATGTCTGTCTTTTTCATCCAGTGTTAATATCACAACATAGACAGTTGGATATGCCATTTTCTATCAAGAAATTTGCTGTTTACCAGGTATGGGGGAAGGGGGGAGAGGGGGTTATGGCATTGTCTCTTAGCAGGCAAAAGATGCCAAACATTCTGGAGTGAAGGAAGATTTGACCTTAACTAACGGTCAGATGTAAGCATCACCACTGGTAAATGGTGGCAAGTAATATGAAGTAATTATGTTCCCTCATTTTACATCCCAGAACATCAACCAACGCCCTCTTCTTATACCTCACCCTACCAATCACGTTCTCCACCACATTGTTACCAATCAAATATTTGCAATTGTGATAGAAATAAAAAAATGATTTGCTTAGTTGTCAAGTTTGCATGGTTGTGGTTGACTCTTGTGAGACAACCTGGTACTGAGAGCCTGAAAGCAAGCCACTTAAATCAGTAAAACATTCGCACATGCGCTTACGTTAACCTATGGTTGGCGGAGAAAAAACTGCTTCGTGCGATCTGATTTAGAAGCGTACGATCCGAAACTTTCCTCCTAACAAACAGTGGCCTTAAAAGCGTCATTCGTGTGCCATAAATAACCCGAGTCAATACAGCGGTTAACGATGTACTCCCAAGTTCGATCGTTTTCATCCATTCCACGTTCAGAATCTCAGTTATCCCTTCTTTTTTACTCTCTACTAAAGCTCTCACCATTTTGACTCCAACAACTTGCTTTTACATGAAAGAACGAATCTAAGGAATTTTCCTTTCTCCTTATCAGATTTCTACTTATGTTGAAAAAAGAAATGCCTTCTTGGTCACTCTATTACTAATAAATTCGGGATAAGCTATTCTGATCTGGACTTCATTTCATGTGTTATACGGGAAGATGGTAAAAGCTTCAATTCTCGCCAAAGATCCCTGATACCAAATTGGTTATGCACAAAAATTAAATTTTACAATTCTCCACAATGCCTGATTGACATATATATAAAAATAACTTTTTTACTATTCCATAATTACATGAATTTCGTCTCGGTAGGCACTAACAAATTTAAAGATAACTTGATAAACCAACAGTTCGCTACAATTTGTCACTAATCTTAAGTTTGTTGTCATAATTAAGCGGTTTCCGCCTGTTCCTTTTTCATTAAAAGCCTTAGAAGCCGCTTCTTGTCAGCCACTATGCGACTTTCCAAATCTTCAATTTCCCTCTTAATAGCGTCATTACTGTGCGACACTGACTCCCTTACTTTGGATTCAGAGTTCGCTGTTGATATAGAAGAACTGCGCGAACGGGAAACGCTATGGTGCGTTCGCGATGACAGAGGCGTGCAAGCTCGTGAGAAGTATCTTGATTGTGAATTAGACCGTAAGTTTCGAGAGTCTCGTGACTGGGAATGTGAATTTCGCGATGATCGGGATTTCTGTGACTGCGAACCTCGCGATCTTGATCGTGATCTGCGTGATCGTGAGTCCCTTGTCCGTGATTTCTGTGATCGTGAGTGTCGTGATCTGGAGTTTCGAGAGTAAGACCCCGATCTTGAACGAGATCGACCATACTCCTTTGTTCGTCTACTGTCAATTTTCTCGCCGCGCGTTTTACGTTTGCAGTGAGTCTGGGATGGACTTAAAGAGGACTTTCCTATCTTTTCTTGACTGTGCTTACCAGATTTTCTTGACGGAGATAAACGTTGACTATCATCTCTCAACCGTCTTTCCCTAGAGTTTGATCGCCATCGACGATGTTCTTCAATCGCACGCTCTTCAACCGAAAGTGAACGATCCCTTGAGCGCGTTTTAGCATTTACAGAGATCTTTTAGACTTTTTCCTTTTACATTTGTGTTTGTGTGAGTTACGATGATAATGATGCTTCTTCTCCTTTTCCACTTGTGTCTTCTTTACAACAGTTTCCTTGGAAGATCTCTTTCTGTTACTACGCCCTATAGAGTCGGATGACGCATTGGACGCTTGATAACTTGTCGTGGGTTCAATGTCTACTAGAGTTGTTTGCGAACTAACTGATGAGTTCGATGAAGAGATGTTCACAGTCCTTTCTAAACCAGCTCGACCATTTAGTCCGGATGTGCCTGGTGATGAGCTTGGAGACCACCTGTTGTTTACAGTTTGCCGCGCTGGAGAATCTCTATTCCGGTCTGTTTGCAACAGAGTTTCGCCAGAGGGGCCCGGAACAGGTGTTTGGCAGCCTGATGTAGAGAGGAGACCGCTAGACATTAATATTGTATTGCATACCTCAAAACTTATTTTCTCTTTAACCGATTCAAGTCCTCCCTTTCCCTTCTTGATTTTTTTTCAATTTTTCTTTAACCAAGTTGAGGATTTGAAGCTGTCATTACCCGGCCGAACTGTTTGGAAAAAATTCGCGTTGTAGGCACTAACAATATCTAATAATATTATTTAACGTCAGCATTGAGTAATTTTGAGAATTCTACCTTAATGAGACGCTTTAGAGTGTTATACCATGGAAACTCAAATGTAAACGTTGCCCAACTATTTTCCTTATACTACTCTCCTCTTTTCCCATTTGAGCATGTAAAGTCCATTTTACTGTTGCCTGCTTGGTTGCCAAGCCTTTGAACAGGAGTTAGGCTAAGATTGACCTTAGTTTGATACAAAAGTTACTGCTTTCCAAATGTAAATTACTTTGTTGGTCTTAATTATCATGCTAACTAGATGCTGGTCTCTATCACAGCATGGTCACCTTCAGCCTCGCTTCAAATCAAAGGCTTGGCGACTAAATACACAACTGTAACATGGCCTTTTATGAAACACTAGTCATGCAACGCTTCGGAGAGGTATACCTTGGATTATCCTACGAAAAAACCTCGTTTTAATATTATGCACCACGCCAACGTAAACACATTGGCCAACACAATCCACAGAGCGAACAAGGGAAGGTTTGGCCTAATAACGTTGATTACAACGGCTTTAATTCCCTGGATTCTGATTGGCTGAATGGCATGATATAAAATGTTTATAAACAGTTCAGACCTGAAGTTTGACTGTGAAACACAGTCGGCGTATCTCTGAGTTCCTGCTCTGACTCACTTGGCCCGCTGTACTGCACATGCGCATCATAAGCAATCATATCAAATGGCGAACGAGCAAAGCTTATAAACTCGTGGATAAAATGGTCTGTATTGACGGAAAGGAAATCCTGCAGGTTGCCAGAAAACTCTTCAGAACTAAGCTCAAACCTAAAAAATTAATAGTATAAATTTAAAAACTTAGCCTATCTACGTGAAAGGGTAATTTGCTATTATCAACTGAGTTGATAACGTTTCGAGCGTTCGTCCTTCTACGTTCGCTCTGACGAAGGGCTAACGCTCGAAACGATAGCTTTCACACTCTTTACGTTAGCCAATTTACTTTTTCAACTCGGTTGATGATACTAAATTACCCTGTTACACTCTCCCACCGACGCAGCATCACAGTTTATTTAGAAACTTACCCCCTTTATCCGCATAAATTTTTTTGCCTGTTTCAATTTAAAAAAAGTTGTATACCACTTCGAAAGTTGTAAGACCTATTAGCAAAAACAACCAAACTGACTTTAGCGCGGGAAAACGCAGACGACGGAGTCATGATCTGTTTTAGTTATACAGTAGGCCATTTTACAGTTGTTTACTTAGTTACCAAGCCTTTGATTTGGAGTGAGGCTGAAGGTGACCTTGTTGTGATAGAGACCAGTATCTAGTTAGCATGATAACAAAGTAATTTGCATTTGAAAAGCAGCAAGGTTTGTATCATAACAAGGTCACCCTTAGCCTCATTCCTGTTCAAAGGCTTGGCAACCAAGCACACAACTGTAAAATGGACTATTGATTGGTTAATCGAGAGAATGGCGCGAGTTTTCTGGAAAAATCTCAGAGCGAAGAAAAGCAAAAGCAATACAATCTCCGATAACTTTCGATATTCAGTCGAAAATTTCTCCTAATGGCGAGAAGTAATTCTGATACAGACGACATTCCTTACAACACAATCATGGAGTGATTCACATCTAAACATGACTTACTTGTTGATCAGAGACAAAATAAACTGAAGAACAAAACTGACATGTTCCTCCACGTCATTCAACAACGCCATTAACTCTCTTGTAAGCCATGGAATCAGTCGGCGGGTGCTAGCAGGATTAGAACTGAAAAATTCTGGTGCTGCGAGAAACAAAACAAGTTTAGTCTCACCCACGTACATGTTACTGCGGAGGCTTACATCAAGAAACTAATAGTATTTCTTTTTCCTCCAAAATTCAATGTTACCCCCTAGAATTCCTTCCCCCATGAACCACTCACCCCCCTCCCTACCCACAGAAGTCGAAACTGATATCTAATATTAACAACTATTCACGTGGATATTCACCAAGCAAAAAAGGCAAGCTAAATATCCACCACCAGCCAACGACGCAGAGGTGTATATTTTTTTTAGTATAGACTAAGACAATGATATAGTATACAAGGCACATCAATATGAATTTAACTAATTTATTCCTCAAACGATTACAGTAATTTTTGGTGCAAATTCTGCATGTGTCGTTCGGAGGTCAATAGTGAGGGATATTTGGAGTTTAAGTAGTCAATCAGAGTGTGCCTTCAACACTTCCCCTTGTTTAAGTATATATGACTACAATATTCAGGCAATGAATACAAGTGAAGAGCTCTACATTGTATGACTTCTTTAGTATTCAAAAACTCGTTAATAATTGATAGTCCCATTAACCTATCAAATGGTAGATAATACATCACGTGCAGTGACTTTATATTGATAAACCTCATCCTTATTACACTGCACGTGACTTATGAATATTAATTAATTATCAACACAGAAACTGACACAACAAATGGTGGGAACATATTTAATGTTCTTTCAACAAATTTCACACAGTAAATTTACTCTTGCACCAAATTAATAGTACAGTTGTGAAATACACATCTGGAAAAATTCTCTATTTCAATAGTACAGTAATCTGGTAAAGGCATATTAGACAATACATCATCTGAAACTTCGAATTCAAGATCAGTTGGCAGAAGTGACTCCAACTCGTTTTCGCTAACCTCTGCGTTTGACCTTTTCGTATGCTAATTTCTAACGTTCACAAAAGCATAATTGTTATGAACTCTCTTGACACACGCTTTTCAAAGAATGTTTTTGAAGCCGTTCAAAAAACCCGCAGCACGTGTTTTATCGGGTCAAAAACCCGATAAAACACTCCTGCTCGTTTTTTAAACATTACATAATGTGCTTGTTTTAATATCCTATCCCTTACTCTCTCGTTTGTGAATATTTTATCCAACATTTGGAAATAAGAATATTATCAAGCCTTTCATTACGTGATAATCTCAAAACTTACAAATTTCTCTCTGCCTCCAACTTCCTGTCTGCACCCATAAGTTATTTCCGTAGATGTCCCTGTGTTGAACAAAAGTATAACACTTAATTCTATGTACTGGTGCGTACTTAAGAGACTTCTAACATGCAGCAACGCTCACATGTACTACAGGACCCCATGAGCATCAGGTGTATGTAAATTGTGGCCACACGAGCTTCCAGTGCATGCAGTTACGTTCGTGCCGTAGGAAAAACTTACATGTGCAGTGCTCTACACCCAAATGCGTGTATTTATTTCATCTTGTGTCATTCTCTGCATGCACCTACATGCACAAATGCACCAAGGCTTGACCTTGTAGTGATACTGCAAGGAACAATTGCTCATTGATAGCTCCTGAGGGGTGGGGAAGGGGAAAGGGGGAAAGAGGAGGGAAAAGCCATTATCTTGACTAAAGCTTAGTCATTGGTGCACGTCAATTTCACATCTTGGTACAGGCCTGCACATGTAAACAGATACTAGTGAGTACCTTCTCTTTTGGACATCCACATGAGTCTGTCGTCTAGCTGGCTGCCCCCAGAGTTCAGTCTCATACCACTGGTTTGTTGGCACAAGAGAGTCAGGTTTGGGGAGAAAATGCTGATACAAAAAGAAAGAGTTATTTGAAATGGCTTAAACCTACAAACACCCTTTTGTGGTTGTCACTTTTCTATAAATGGCATGATAACTGTAATCAAAATAAGTGGACAAGACAGGTGGAAATTCATAGATGAACATTGCCTTTTCAAGTTACCAATTGCTGAATTAAATTTCGAGATGTGTCAATTGGAAATAAAATTGAAGTGTACAGGCACATCCTTGTAATCATAGCTTTTCCACATGTATAGTGTTCCATTCTCTTTCAAGTAGCTTTACCTTTACTTTCAAAATGATAGAACATTTTCATTGTAAGGCAAAAGTTGCATTTATGAGATAACATTGCCCTACTGCATCTCCCTCAAGGCTTTTTCTATGCACCCCTCTGATTACTCATAATTTGAATAAAATATGCTGGTAATCAAACATTCAAAAATTTTGAATTTGCCTGTTTTGCTTTTGATTTTCATCAGCTACAATCCGCAAAAATATTGACACATTGATCTTCTCAACTCTTCTGTCCTTCCTTTTCAAGTTAAACTAATCAGCCCCTTCTCAACCCCCCCCCCCAAAAAAAAAACAAACAAACAAACAAACAATGTTGCATCTTGCTTACATGAACTTTAAAGGGCTAGTTTTGTAAATGATTTATAGCATGGTGTAAACAAAAGTGTTATTCTTGAAAAAAAATCTGGCTGTGGTCTGAGTACCTGAGATCATTCATAGATCATATTATTTTTCAGGGCAATTGAAAGTGGCAGTTACAGATCTTCAAGATTTTATACCTTTCCATTCATGGCCCTTGAGCTATGCACTTTAGCTATTAGTCAAAGGGGGCAAATTTGTCTTTCAACATCAGTGACCTCAAACTCAGGTAGTATTAGAGATTCAAACATGGTACTATGGAAAAAGGGGAGAAGATTAAATTGGGCATACAAAGCTTTGAGTTATAGGGTTAAATTATAAAGTGAAATTCATGATTACCTGCTGGTAATTTTTCTTAGATTTGACACTGTGGACAATCAATGTAAAGGTTTCTTTGCACAGGGGACAGGTGTTGTTTACTTCTGACCATTGTAAAATACAGAGGTAACAGAAAGCATCTAGAAGATAGGTTAAGGTTCAAGATTGCTTTATAGCATTAACCCGTTACACCCTAACATCAGTATGTACATTCTCCATACTGGTCTCTGTACAATTCTTGAGGTGCTGACAAGGAGAATTTGTTTAATAATCGAGAGCTTTTTTTAGTTGGTGATAATTTCCTTGATTCTTGTGACCCTAATGTTTGATTCAGGGGTGATATTGTAAGGAGAAATTAGTAGCTGGTCACTCTTGGGGGTTAAAGGGCTAGCCTTGTATAGATGTAAAACTTGCATAGGTCCTCTGTTCAAGGCAGACATTGCAAGCATTTGAATTATACCATGAAGGGATGGGACCACAAAAATCTGAATCACCCCTAACAGGTTTTGAGATGAAAGGGAGAGATTTTTTTTAGTTTTAAACTGGAGGAGAAACGAATAAAAAATATAATAACAAAATAAAAGATACACAAAATGAAACACCCTACCCCTCAACCCACGTAAATTCCATGAAAGCAACCTCACTGAACAGTTTACCCAACACTTACAAGGAAGGCAAATGTCTAATTTGTACAAATCAAACCCTCGTGAGGCCGAGTGATTGTTACTTTGTTGCTGGATTCTAGAAAGTAATTTATTTTCATCGAATCTTAACCTAAAGTTCATTCACGCATCCAAACTCATATTTCACTTGTTAAAAGGATACGATTGCACTTATCAAGGAATGATTTGTTATCATATCCTTCGAGACAAATCGAACATGTTCCAGAAGAACATTGATCATCTACTCGCAGATTTTTTTCTGATGATTTCCTTTTCACATCGATGATTTGGACTTCATCATCACAACTGTATTTTCGATCTTCCATAAATAATATATCGATTTAGCCAAGACTAAAAGCGGAGAGCTACTGTTCACGGTGGGCACAGTGTGACTCAAAATCGCTCAAGTTCGCCATTCATACACACGCGAGGAAACTGGTCCCAAGATGCCATGCGACCGCAGGAAGCTCAATGCATCATGTAAGCGCACTCGTTACATCTCCTTCCCTTAGTTTCAGTTCAACAAACACAAAATGTAATGTTCCGAAATGTTTCTATGCCTCAAGGTTCTTATGTGCTAAACAAACTGTGCATACAGGTAGGAAGACCTAACAATAAAAGGAACGACAACAAAACAAAGAGGCAAAGTCAAAAAAATTGTTCCTCAGCACTCGTAATCTTGTAGCCACAGTGGTGGGTGACGTTCACGTGTTGGACGACTAGGTGGCTCTGGAACTACTGGTGTTGGCAGAACCAATGGTTGCGGCAACGCAACTGAGCTCGTCTCAGTCTGCTCGATTAGCTCAGTAGGCTCGCTTGTTTCGGAAGGCTCCAACGTTTCAGGAGTGGCCCTTAACCATCGGCGGTTTCGACGATACTGTTTCCCATTCACCTCTACCTGATAGGAACGGTTGCCTACATCTCCAATGACCTGTCCAAGGGACCATTCTTTCTCACCTGGCAGGCGCATTCTAATGGCATCACCGTTGTCTAATTTCGGCAATTCGTGTGTGTGTTGGTCATAATAATGCTTCTGCTTCTGCTTCCTCATCTCAATCATCTTTGGCACATTAGTAATCACACGAGGCTCTAACAATGTCTTAGCTACTGGGAGACGAGTCCGTGTTCGCCTGCCGTAGAGTAGCTGAGAAGGTGAAGCATGCATTCCCTCAGTAGGTGTGTTGCGCCATTCAAGTAACGCCAACAAAGGATCTCGCTTATCTGCACGGGCTTTCATCAACAACGACTTGCAGGACTTCACGGCATTTTCAACACGACCATTACTCTGGGGATGGCGAGGGCTTGAAGTAATGTGATGAAAGTCCCATTCTTTACTGAACGACTCAAAATCTCCACTGTTGAAAGGCTGTCCGTTGTCACTAATAACTGTCACAGGGATGCCATGTCTGGCAAACCAAGTCTTTAAGACCGTAATGACACGATTGCTTGTGGTGTTACTCAAATCTTGTACCTCAAAATAACCAGAGTAGTAATCAACGGCTATCAGGAAGGCCTGCCTCTCAAGTATAAACAAATCAACCCCAACTTTCTCCCACGGTAGATTGGGCACAATATGGGGCTGTAGTGGCTCTCTACATTGTTCAGGTCGATACCTGTTACAAATACCGCATTTCGAGAGGTAATCCTTGAGCTGTGCCGTGATTTCCGGCCAGTAAACAATATCACGAGCTCGACGCAGTGTCCCTTCGACCCCAATATGCGACTCGTGCAGGCTCTTCACAATGTCAGAACGCTCACCAGCAGGTATGACTAAACGATGACCCTTGTATACCAAACCATCCTCTGTAGTCAGCTCATCCCGGCTGTTCCAATACAGCTCGATCACTTGTTTCTGTCGCTTGTCATTTTCACGTGCCTGTGCCATGGTTTCCGGCCAACCTTTACGAATAACATTGGATAGGATCTGCAACTCTTCATCCTTAGCAGTCTCCTCGCGCAGCCTCTCCAAACGAGTAGGAGACACCGTCAGTTCTTCATCATGTTTGATTTGCTCTAACTCAAAGGCAAATAGTCGTTCCTTAATGGAACGGACATCACTGCTTGGGACAGTCGACTGTTCGCCCTCGAGATATGCTCGACTTAGGGTGTCAGCCAAGAACATGGTGGTGCCTTTCTTGTATTCCACTTGGATGTCATAATTCTGCAAACGGAGTCGCATTCGTTGGAGGCGCTTTGGGGAGCTGTGGATGGGTTTCTTGAATATGGTTTCCAGCGGTTTGTGGTCTGACTGGACAACTACATCGCTTCTTCCAAAGATGTACTGATCAAACTTCTCACATGCAAAGACTATTGCAAGAAGCTCCTTCTCGATTTGAGCATAATTTTGTTCAGTAGGGGTCATCACACGGGAGCTGTAAGCCACTGGACACCCTTCTTGCAACAAGGCAGCTCCAAGTCCAGTCTGGGAAGCATCACACTGGATGTCTACTGGTTTGCTCACATCATAGTAGGCAAGTACAGGGGCGGTTACAATCATTTCTTTAACACGGGCCAAAGCATCAGCATGGGCAGGTAACCAACACCATTCAGCATCCCTTTCAGTGAGTTTTCTCAGGACTTCTGTTTCATCTGACAAGCGTGGCAGAAACTTTGCCAAATAATTCACCATGCCAAGAAATCGACGCAGAGAGTGAACATCAGTAGGGTCAGGAATTTGTACTATTGCCTCCACCTTGCACGGGTCAGGTTTGAGACCTTCTGGTGTCAAAACATGACCAATAAAGGGAACTTCTTGCTGTCTCAGCCGGGCTTTCTTCTCGTTCAGCTTCAGGTTTCTTTCACGACAGCGATTTAAGAAAGCACGTACATTTTGGTCATGGTCTGACTGCCACTCAGCAGGTGTGTTGCCGTATCCAACAATCACAAAATCATCTGCAATGACCTCTACTCCCTTAAGCCCCTCTATGTGCTCTCGCATTCTTCGCTGCCAAACTTCTGGTGCACTGTTAATGCCAAACGGCATTCGCTTCCAACGGTAACGCCCGAAAGGGGTGTTAAATGTGGTGAGCATACTGGATTCTTCGTCAAGCTCCACCTGCCAGAAGCCATTGCTAGCATCAAACACGCTGAACAACTTTGCTCCGTTTAGCCTTGTTGCAATTTCTTCAATTGTTGGCATTGGGAAATGTTCTCGTTTTATGGCGACATTCAGATCCCTAGGATCAAGACGCATGCGTATCTTCGTCTCCCCACTTGCTTCAGAAGGCGGCTTACTCACCACCAGCATGCTGGAAACCCAATCTGCGGGCTGATCGACCTTTGCTATGACATCATCTGCTGTCATTTCCTCCAACTTTCCCTGCACGTGCTCGGTCATGGCAACAGGTAACCGCCTGGGTGGGTGGACTACAGGCTTCACGGACTTGTCAGTTACAATACTATACTTCCCATCTAGCTTTCCACGACCTTCAAATACGTCAGCATACTCTTCTAGTAAGGGGTCTTTACCTGTCTTCAGCACATTTATGCGTGGATCTCGGTCGCAATCAAGGATCTTTATCAGGTTCATTTCTAACATACTCTTCTTGAACAATATTGGCTCATAGCCACGACCATTGACTACACTAACTTGTATCTTGTGTGTGTGTCCGTTGCGGGTTGCATACAGGGTTGCTTTGCCCTCGATGGGTTGTTCATACCCATTAGCCAAGATCAGAACCGACTTCACTCGAGTATCAAGAGAGTTTAAGTCCAGGTCACCAGTCACGCCCTTGTAGACATCCAAAGGCAGTAGGTTACACTCAGCTCCCGTGTCCATCAGGAAGGCAACTTCATGGCCTGTCATACTATCAGCATCCTTCGACACGTTGAGGGTCACCACCTCACGTCCTTCACCGCTTGGGACACCTGCAGTACTCAAATAAAACTTCTCCTGGACAGTAGACACCTTACTTTTTGCTGGGCACTTGGCTACAAAATGATTCTTCTTTTTACAATACGCACAGGTCTGGCCAAATGCAGGACAGTTGCGTCTTTCATGATTCCTGCGACAGAATCTGCAATTTCTGATCCTGTTGTCGTTTACTAAAGGAGTGTCATCAGACTGCTCTTTTTCTTTCTGTTTGACAGCATTCAAACCAGATTCCACGGTCATAACTTTAATTTGAGCAGCTGTGCTTTCTGCAGCGCGAGCGATATCTAAAGCTTTCTCTAAAGTCAACTTTTTCTCTTTAAGCAAATTTTCACGTACCTTGCCATTCCTGGTACCAGTTACTAAACGATCACGGAGAAGCTGCTCTGGTGTGAGTGATTCAAAATCACAGTTCCCTGCAATTTGGCGTAATTCCGTCATGTATTGATCAACCGTTTCAGACTCTCGCTGATCTCGAGTAAAGAATAGAAAACGTTCGTAAATGGTGTTCACTCTGGGTATACAGTAATCTTCGAATTGCTTTAAGACGGGCGCAATCTTCTTCTCGTCGCCTGCCGAGGCCCAAGTGAAAGTTCGAAACACTTTGTTTGCTTCTTTTCCGATAACTGCCAATAGCGTCGCTACTTGGCGCACTTCATCCTCTTTATCCAGCTTTGTAGCCAATGTGTAATTCTTCCAGGCAGCAACCCAAGTTCGCCAGTTTGATGCCGTTGAGCCATCGGTGAGCTCGAGAATGTCAGGGGGTGGAATTTGAAAATTCGCCATTGTCGCTCCTCGCTGCTTGATTCTGGCATAAATCTTCCAGTGCTCTTGGCGTGCGGGTCCGGTGGATTCCTGACACCATGTAACGATAGCTAAAACAACATGGCCGACAGCAAAAATTTTTTTTGGGATCACTTTCTGAAGGAGCTTAGATACCAGGCTCAATTAGGGAACCAAGCCTTTTGATGACGTGAACAATTTTTCACTCACCGCCCCCGACTGGTTGAAGTGTAGTTGGAGGGGGACAGGGAAGGAAACATTTTTGTTACTTGCGCGGGAAAAAAACAAATGAGAAGGTATCTATTTTTTTTTTTTTTTTGTTGTTATAATTTTCCAGAAAAAACAAATGGGAAGTTATCTATTACCTTTTTTGTGTAATTTTCGCGGGAAATAATATTACCTTATCTCGCTCCGCTCCGTACATATACGAATCTTCTGCCTTTGGTTAAAATACACTTTCTTCGTTAATTCTAAACATTGCTCACGGTCAAATGGATCCAAAGGGAATTTCAAACCTTGGAAATACTTGCTTTCTGAATAGTGTCTTGCAAGCTCTGCTCTGAGTGACATGTTTTTCCGAAGGGCTCACTGGATTGCAGCACAATCGCAAGAAGTGCACCTCATCTAAAACAGGTCTCGAAAATGTATTCAATATTATTTTAGCACGTCAAAATAACATTGACATCGGAGTGGAAGACATAAAATCCCAGCAGGCAAACAACATCAACCCATCGGTGAACTGTGTAATTGAACCAAGTACTTTTTTAATGAACCACAAAATTCGTCATTAGTGTGGTAATCCGCTTAGTTATTCTCGACATTAAGCTTATTTCGACTTTATGAAACAACTGGTATCAGTCATATTAAAATACGTATTTGACGACTTGATAATCTTGTTAGAACGTCACAGGAAGTTGTACCTTGTACGGAGCTACGAGTAAAATGTTTAAGGCCTTTTCACTGTTTATGGCGGTAAATTTATATTATTCCTGGAAGCTTTGCAAGTCGTAGTTCTTTGCTCGATTATTTTTTGACACTGTTGTGTTGCGCGTTCATCTAAAATGTGCGTGTACGAGTACTAGGAGCGCAAAGAGTGAAAACGGTACGCAAACCTAACACTTTCTACCCCTCCCCATCCCCCTCCCCAGCCCCACCCTCTGGACAAATGAGTAGTTTCTGGACCATATTTACTTGATAATCTTGGTAACTCCCAAATTGACCATGCCTCACACAAGAGAAAACTATTTTTATACAACTGTGCACCACTGAGGTCTTGCATTAACAAAAAGGCTTCTCTGGTATGTTCCACTAAATACTCTAGGTCAGATGTGTTTGCTGTGTAGCACCCTAAACTTTGTGAATGCATATAAGACTGCACCTGGAACAGTTCACCCAGCAACATTGGTATCCTGTCTGCCACAAATTAGCAGCCAAATTCAGAAGGGCCAACAACAGTGTGCAGCAGAATTTTTTCAGGAATATTGTAGAGTACTTGGAAACACTGCAAGCCAGTACCAGACTCAGCAGTTAATACCTGCCAGCTGTAATCTCTCCTTCCTACAATCCTTTTTCTTTGAGTTAAGGAGTGAAGTAATGTGCTCATCATGTGATAATATTACTTCAAACACTACAATGGAAACAATTCTCCCTCTACATATTACAAAGGTATGGGGCAATTATAGTTACAAGGTCACAGTCACCTATGCCAATTTTCTGTGGATTAAATCAATTACAATCACAAACCTGTAGACAGCAAAATTAAATCCAGGAATGGTGTCCCTGCCACATGGATATTTTTGTTTTTGGTTTTTTTTTTTCTGAGGGGGGGGCAGAGTTCAACCCCCCCTTCCCTTTGAAAAATTCATTTCATGTCAAGCATTTCCTTAAAAAATTTTGGCACTTTTGGACCCCCTCTCCCCTGGAATTTTCAATGATCCTACTTGGGAGGGGTGTGTTGATCTTTCAATTCTTTCTAGAACTACACCTTTACTACACATTCTTTCTTACAAAAAGTAAATTTTGTGGTCAAAATGATCTCTATAATAATCACTTCCACCCTGATATTTTTCTTTTGCATGTGGGAGCATAAACATTGACATTGACAACAATGACAACAGTTCTATTTGCACCCAACATTTACATTTTTAGTTTAGCCAATAACTACAAGAAAAGTCAAATACTCATCACAAAGACAAGCTACCGTAGTATTTCTGATACCCAATCACACACTTTATTAATCAGTATTATTCACACATTTATTCTGTTCCATTAGTGGTGTTTGTCTATTCATTCTTAAGGGTTGTACTGTACAGAGCTTCCTTAAGGACTATTCTAACCCAGTGGAGCTGGAATCATCTTATTACTGTAGCAGGTAACAAATTTTAATAGCATTAAACCTAACACCAAAAGGACACACAAATACAACTGTTTTTTTTTTGATAACTGCTACAGTGCTTAACACTATAAACTACAATGCACAAAGCAGACTATTTTCTTCCAGTGCAAGAAATTAGGAATGTCAAAGCTACTACAATTGTACAAATTGTCTCAAACTTTACCACTCCCCTTCCCCAAAGCAGCTACATGTATACAATACAGGGCCTTTAAAAAAGTCCTCAATGTTTAATGCCTCGAGGCTTGCTGGTTTGGCAGTCAGTGGAAAGGTAATGAAAGAAATACATTCAGTTGGATTTATATGATTGTAATTAACATTCAAATATCGATTCTAACTCCACACTGACTCAAGATATAAAAAACAAGACATTGATTGCATTATATATGGTGGCTTGATGCAAATGAGCCAAGAGAGCTTTTTTTTGGGGATACATGATCATAAAAAAGCCCCATATTCTGTAGTTGTAAGTCATAGAGTGAAATTCAGTACTTTAACGATATTCAGTAGACCTCAATGCAGTTTTCAACACCACCTTAATGTCAAATAATTTTTGTGACAATTCTGTTATCATAAAAATATCAGTAATACTGCAAATTTAAGCAACAGTTGTACACGTTATGGGAAAATGATTCTTCTGTAAAAAATTTTTCTTCTAGCAGACTTAGATTTTCTGAAAAAAATAACATACAATGTATGGAAAAAACTATCACAAACAACAGGGCAGATTCAAGGAAAGGTACAGCCATAGCCACTATGAAGCAAACATCCCCACCACTCCCAAAATGCATTATCAGTTGCCTCAGATATCCAGGATGTCCAGGCTGTCCAGGGAACAATTTAAACATTAAATAAGTTTTGCGTATTCAGATTAATTACTGCTTGGTGCATTATTTTGTGACAACGTACTTTAACAAGTTATATATTTTATATCACAAAAGCAAATAATTTCTGGTGTTATCGCTAATTGGGATATCAAATCAAGAAAGTATAAGGTTATCAATAAAGAGTTTAACTTTGGCTGAAGGTTTTTCGAGTTATTAATTTGACAATTCACTATACGTTGTAAAAATTACAAAGCAAAACACTAAATTTAGGTTGAAAAACACTAAAAGACTTACTTACCTTCGGTCTCAAAACGTTTTTCACTTTACTGCTGTGAAAATTTGAGTTTGTGTTTACTACACGCCGATGTTTCTTGTATGCTCCAATGTGACGACATAAGCTAGTGGCAAAAAGGGTCACGCAAGCAAGCAAAGGCCTGGGCACAAATTCAGTAGGCTTGGCTACTGAGTTGAGCCTGGTTTCTAAGCTCCTTCAGAAAGTGATCCCAAAAAAAATTTTTGCTGGCCGACACACGAGGAAACTGGTCCCAAGATGCCATGCGACCGCAGGAAGCTCAATGATTCATGTAAGCGCACTCGTTACAGTTGATGTCGAAGAAGAAGCGAATGAAGAGGTCACTTTGATCGAAAGAATTAAAGAGTGCCTAAAGGAGGTTGGAGATGCTGGCATAGACGTCGTTTTTTTGTCGACACCGGCGTGTCAATGCTTGTCCCTTTGTATGACCTAAGTCGGCGAAGAGTTGCAGGCTTGCCTGTAGAAGCCTCTCAGATCCTGAACACCCAGATTCAAGTGGGCACCGTCATGAGGTCGGAGTCCAGGTTATGGCTGGAAGCCATTCACAGACGTCTTGCCGGACGACGACGGATAAGGAACCCATTCCAAAGCGAAATTGTCCGAGACATCCCCTACGAGGTTTTTCGCGTGTTACTAAGAGTAACTAAGTCTACAGAGGGCTTTGCCGAGCCATTCGTGTCTTTTAGCGCCAACAAAAAGGCGGGAACAATTTCCTTTTCTTCATTAAGACCCGTCAAACAGCTGCTTTCAATTCTTTCTGCTCTGACGGAGCGGGAAGTTGTGCAATACTTCAAGAGGACTCTCACAGGGAAGAAAGCTGGCAGTAAAGTTAATGTCATCGCATCAGAAGAGAAAAAAATGGTTTTTGTTTACAAATTAACCAAAGGCCAACTTTTTATTGCCTTCCACTTTGGGGAGTGGAATACATATGGCTTTCCTCAACATAATTAGATTATGCAAGTGAATATAGGAAAGAACATATATTTGAACTGTGGAGAAAGGTATGAAGACATGATTGATCATCTGCGATACTGGTGCAGTGCTCTACCAACTGAGCTACCAAGCCGACTGGGAGCTGATCACGTTGTGAGTTCGTAATATACCCATAGATGGTGAAGATGCAAGTGACTATGTAAAAGACCATATATTTGAGAAAAAAGATATGAAGACATGATTGATCATCGCAGTTATACACAACTTAAGCAGTTGTGAAATTTATGCCTTAATTTTTTTTTCAGGCTTAAATTTCACAACTGCTTAAGTATGTATAAGCAATGATCAATGATCAATCATGTCTTCATAATTAGATTATTTCGATAATAATACAGTGGCTTGCAGAAGTGCACGACTCCTTGTATGGAGGAGGGGGGAAGGGTGGGTTCACCACACCTTGTAGGTGTGTAAAGTGGGATGTTTTGGTTCCACTGTTGTAGACTTGGCAGTCTTTTTGTAGATAAAGATAGAGTTGTAAAGAAGTAGTGTATAGTAAAACTGACCTAACAAATTAAGGAAATGCCTGGGTGTTTTAGCTCCTGTGGGGTAGGCACTCCCATATGAAATGGGCAGCGGTGCTTGAATGCTTGAATTATCCCTTTTTCTCATAATTTATTAGATATCAGATAATCAAAGTGAAACAAAACATAATAAAATGCCAACTACTTTTTATTTACCCTTTTCCTGTATGAGCTAAAACACCTTTTTTCCTACAATAATACCTTTCACATCTCACTGTATAGTTGAGAAATTATTTTTAACAATAAACATCAAACTAAAAATCTCTGAAGTGTGTTGGCCATCAAGGCATAATTATTTACAATAATGAACAGCTTACACATTCGCTGTTGTTGATAAATGCTATGTTAAAAATTCAAAGAACAGCTATGATGTTAAATTGTGCTGTTGCCTTAATAAAATCAAGCTACAAATGTCTGATCTGTGTAACTGTTCAATAGTATACATGTTGTAGGTAAAAATGAAATCTAGTTAAATGTTAATCTAGTTTGATTCTCACTAGCCCTAATTATTTATGACCATGAATAACTAGGGTTAAGAGACAAAGGAATTTCATTTTAACCTGAATTTCATTTTGACCTTTGACACACACATTCACTGTCTGCTGTTATTAACAAATACTGAGTTAAAAATTAAACAGCTAAGATTATAAAAAAAGCTGTTTTCTTAATAAATATCAAGCTATGAATGTCTGCCATTTGTTCAACATACACATTCTTTCCATGCTGTTATTAATAAATACTGAGTAAAAAATTAAACAGCTAAGATTTAAAAAAAAGCTGTTGTCTTAATAAATGTCAAGCTATGAATATCTGCCATTTGTTCAACATATACATTCTCTCTATGCTGTTATTAATAAATACTGCGTAAAAAATTAAAAACAGCTAAAATTTAAATTGAGCTGTTGTCTTAATAAATATCACACTAAAATTGTCCAACCTTTTCTGAGTATTTAGACTTGAGAACGCTTCTCCGTTATTTTAATTTTATCCTTTAAAAAATCTTGATTTTGGTCTGTTTTTTTGTACAAGTTCAGGACAAACCACACGATGCCCAGAAAACTTTCACACAAGTGACCTTTTGTATTCCAAGATTTATGTCACTTGTTCAGGTTTATATTATCACAAAATATTGAATGGCCAATATAAACCAAAGCTTGTACCTTAGGCACTGTGTTTTGTTCTTCTTGCAGTTCAAAAATGGTGAATCCCCATGATTTGAGTGTTTTATGCTTGTCATTTTACTGAAATACTTGGTACAAACAACTACTGTCTAAATTAAGTTCTTCCCTCTCTGAACACCAAGATACACTGCTGCTATTAAAATGTGCATACTATTCTGTGACATTTAAATTAGTCACAACCCCTTCACACCTTAAGAGTTAACTTATCAAAAAAGGAGCAATGTTAAACCTCTTAATTCTGTACAATTAAAAATATGACCACTTATTAGAAGATGAAATTATGCATATATAACCACTGACCCTTCTTTGCTCTTTGCAAGAGCTTACATTTGTGTACCATATTATTATGCTCTGTACAACCATAATTTGTAGTAGTACTCTATGCACTCTGGTTTACACAGACAATAATTTTGCCCCAATATCCACATATACATGCACTGTATATGCTCTGGTGTGTAAATACATTAACAACTGCTGTTATTAAAATGAATATGCAACAATGTGACCTTTAAGTTAAGTCACCCTTAAGAGTAACAGCTATAAAAGGAGCAATGCTTAATAAGATTATTTATAAATACTGTATATTTAAGAAAATGGGCATTTCCTGCATGGTAAAAATATGCATATAAGGCCACTCACCCTTTGCTCTTTCAGCAGCACCCGCTATACACTCTGTTATTTACATACATTAATATGCAGGTGGAATTTGGAAAGGGACAAGTTAAAAGTCAAAGTTACTTACCCATGAAGCTATTTCATTTCAGAAGATTAGTCCTGCCCTGCTATAATATACATTATATGTCCAAGATATCCAGTCCTCTCAAAATGTGCTAGTGACAACATTTTATGTCTTATTTTGCCTGAATTTTGTTTTTACTTTCTAATGTGTTGATAGCCACTGCAAACATTTTGAGGGGCTCAATGTCAATTCCACTATGTTTGCTATATAGCCTACAAGCTGCATTTCCTTACAACCCTATGGCTGTCTGCATTGCAGTTTTTAGATGCCTCCCACAGGGACAATGACAAAATCCACTGATGCAAATGAAATTATTCTCACACAGTTCCCTAAACGACAGAAAAAGTGGTTCATTTATTGTCTCATGATAGTCACTTTGCAAATGACTGCAACATTAATTTCAACCACTTTCTGCTGGTCTTAATCAGGCAGTAGAATCACTCACCTGATTTGCCTGTTTCTCACAATAGATACTTTTTCTAGGTAAAAAAATTCACTTTCTCTTTCAAAATGCTCATGAGAGCCCCTGTTTTAAAAGAAAATTGTACAATTGTAGCTTTCACTCATGCATATAACTACTAGCATGCATATAACTACTAGTGGTTCCCAGACACAGGGTTCAAACCCCTCTTCAGAAACAAATTTCTGGGGCTTTTCCAGGATTCAGATTGATTTTTCCAGGACTCTAAAATTTACATCAACCCTTACACTCCAAAGATCTCAAATTTAATTCTCCTTACTGTCTGCCATACATTTCATATTTTTTACTTGAGTTTAACAGATTTCCAGAGCTTTCCAAGATCAGCAGCCTTTTTCCAGGACTTTCTGGTCCTGGAAAATGCCACAATAAAATTCCAGGACTTTCTAGGTTTTCTAGGACCTGTATGAACCCTGCAGACAAAAAAGCCTGAAAGGAAAAAAAAACATGAAGGGCTTTGTAACCCTTTAACAGGCAATCATACAAATTCCTACGCAAGCCACCTGCAATGATGTGAAACTCTGCAGCTTTCACAGATAAGAACCATTACTGTAGGACAGCAGCATGTCTACCAAGAAATCAAGTTTTTTCCTTCTTTAATGCTTGCCTCTACTTTAGCCCATAGACTGTTGGAACAGATTATACACTTGTTATCAGTTGAACACTTCTGAAGCCCACAATTACAAAATGCTGGATCGGAATTGTTGACCTGCTTCCAGAACTTTTTCACGACCCAAATGTTGTAAGAAAAAAAAATACCAGACGTGAGTGCGATCATGCAAATGTGCGATTCAGTTGTACAAAAACAATAACAATTTACTGTGAAGTGGAAAACTACAATAAGATTTATGAAGAAAAACAGCTGTGCGAAATTGTTTTTCGAAAAAACAAAAAACATACGACAAAACATTGACATTTTGTCAAAGCTACAAAAGCAAAACTATGAAATTCTAATGACAACAAAGAAAATGAATGAAGGCAAAGAATACACCTGTAACAACTGGAAGTTAATATGTGAAAAGGCAGCCTAAATTATATGGCTAGGCTGTCCAAAAAAAAAAAGTACTTACTGGTGTTTGGTACCAAAACAAACAGCAGAAATTAATCTCTTTACCGACTTAGGTCGCACAGTGGGTCAAGCATTGACATGCTGGTAAACTAGATGCAATAAAAAGTAAGAACGTATAAGTATCACAATTTGAAATTAATGACACAGGATGTTGTCGACACAGGATGTGTTGCAGTACCTGACTGAAATGTGGCACTGATTTAAATGTTCAATTTATGCTGTGTTGAAGTAACAGTAGACATTACTCTTTTATGAATTACATGCAGCATGCAGCACACATAAATCCGACCTTTGCTGAACTTCTATTGAACTCAGCCAAATTAAACTAGACCTTGTATAGGAACAAGTTACAACAGTTTGTACACCAGCCACAATTGTTTACTACTGTTTATATATATTCATTTACGCTAAAAATAGTTCTTAAGCATAAAAAGCGTAAGGTCATATGATAAACAAAATCAAGTTAAACTGCAGAAACGTACTTGTTTGCACATTTCATATATTCATGGCATTCATTTTATTTTAGCTTACGCTTATTTGTTTTATATTACTCGTAATCACGCACGAGAAAACTCGTGGTCGGTAAGCTGCCTGGCCTTCTCAGAACAGTTGATCTGTTTGGCAATACATGCAAAATTACACAGTCAAATTTCAGTGGCCCTCAGGACGCACGCACGCTTCTTTTCGAATAAGAGGAATCGGGACAAAAAGCGGCTGATAAAAAAAGCCGTGATGTCTAGAAAAACAAAGAAACCTACCCATGTTTGGTAGCAAACGAAAGATCTTGGATCCCTCTTCCAAGATGGCTTCCCGGTATTTACCTTCCAACCTCAGAGGGCCCTCTGAGAAGGACTAAAAAACCGTCATTTGACGCTTTATAAATTCGTTGGTTCTATTTTCTATTTCTATACTAAGAGCAGACGAGATCTGGAACCTGGGGACGAGGTTCTGAAATCATGCATGCTAGCCA